TAACAATCATACATACTTAATCTTTTTTTGACAAATTTTACAATTTTCTTCTCCCTGACCCCTTAAAATCATGGCCTCACAAGTCCACGTGAAAATTTGGGGACCTCTACGGAGGGTCAAGACAAGGTTATTCCGATACCGATACCAGTATCTGGATTTCCTCTGATACTGCTTAAAATGCGGTATCGGGTATCAGAGCGTATGCCTGTCTGCACACTGATCCGATACCACGTAAGTTATTATCCTGTCATGACTCGCCGTATTGTTGTTGTTAATGTTATTGTGACTCTGACAAAGGGTTTAAACTGAGTCAGGACATACAACAATAATAGTAATCATAGTAGTATAGGCTGTATATATATATATATGTGTGTGTGTGTATACAAATGGTATCGGAAAATCTCTAGTCAGGACCCCCAGGTTGGGAACCAGTGTCATAGAGTGTATTTAATAACTGAATTGATATCCACTATGAGTAACTTTAAAAGTGGCAATAAAAAAACAAAATGTTTTTTCACCTGAATCAAACTGCCTGAATATTGATTTCTCAACTCTTATTCTGTACATGTCATATGGGGTTACAAAGAGGATACAAACTGACATACAGTTAGTGACTATGTCTGTTTGTGGTCATTTGTTTGTCATCCAAATTAGCTGTCAATCACAAAACCAAACTTAAGTCGTCATCATAGCGGTTGTCATATTGTCACATAGCAGCTGTTCATTATTTACTGAGTATGAACAACCTCATCACATCAGTGTGTCGCTGTCATGTTCAGCTCAAGAACACTTGTTGAAATTAAATCCACAATAGTCCACAAAAAAAGAGGAATTTTCCCTTTAACTGCTCACATAATTTTAGGGGATGGATATGCACAATATATAGAGGTGTGATTAGATTTGAAATGTACATCTTTACAGTTGGTTAGAAATGGAAATAACACAGGCAGAACAATTTATCAACCAATATTTAACAGCTTATAAGCAGATCCTCTCTTGTCTGATGACTCCTTGTGGTAGTCAGCTGATAGAGAGGTTGCTGAAGGAATGCTCATAGACAGCACTGGTGGTTATAGTGAGATTATGTAATAACTGACATGCTTTTTATTCACAGTTGAACACAGACTTTGCAGCTCTGTGTTAATAATTGAAAGTCAGTTTATTGGTAAGTTTCTGTTCTGTTCATTCTGTCTTATCAGTGGGATAAAATCTTATCCCACCAAACATTGCATTGCTCTGCAATAATACAGTTTTTCACAGCAGCCATTTTGACATGAAGTAGTAAACTGGTGTTACCAATGATAATAAATAAGATTCTGTTCCATTCAGGTCAAACAGAGTCAGGGTGCAGCTGTGTTACCCTGCTTATGTCAAAATAGCTGCTGTGAAAAAGGTCATCATGCTTGGTTGGCAATGTTCATGAGCAACAAGTCTGTCCTTCTTTATCTACTGTTTGTCTTACTCG